TACTATTCACAAAATTCACTATTCACATGAATATTAATGAATAGTAACCTCACAAAAAATTGAGAAATTCACAACCAAAAGCTTTGATTACTAGTTGTTAGAAAATAAACCGAGTACGAGTAATTTCTCTATAACCAGATTAGTGAGAATGTGAAATAAAAGAGGAAAAATAATATCCGAAATTGATAACGGAGTTCAGCCAATTATGCCTACGTCTCCGGACTGCTGCAGATCTTTTACTAAGAGAGAAAATTTATATGTGTTTACAAAACACTCACTACTCACAAGAAAGCTCTCTAGTATTGGGAGAAAAAATGATTTTGGGATGATTTTAAAGCTAAATGAACAAGGGTATTTATAGTTAAATTTAGGGACTAATCTTTGAAAATACCCTAAAATACATTTTACCCGTTTCAAAAATTCAGCAATTGCTTCTCACTTGCACTGAAAGTTTCTCTGCCAGCAACCCACAGAAAATTTGATTTGACAATTCAACAATTATTATTGCTTTTACAACCTACCAAAATTGACTTTGCAACACTAGTCGTTCACAACATTCTCGTGGGGTTGTGGCAGGGATCGTTGTCGAGTTTAATGCTAGTTATGTGGCAAAAATGGTCACCTTGTGGACAAGTGTTGGTATCGTTTTGACCATACCTATCCCGATGTGTCTGCGATGAGTGCCCACCCTCAGTCGATGAACAATGCTCCAACTGCAAATGTCTGCTCTTATATTGCCCCGTCCTCCTGCCATGGTTGTGATTGTAGTTACCATGGCCAATCTCGTTCTCTAGGCAGTACAACTACAACCCCTGCTCATGTCTCTGGCAGTAAACCACTGTGGGTTGTTGATACTGGCGCCACATACCATGCCACTACTGATGCAACCGAGCTTGTGGTTGGTAACGGTTCAGGTTTATCCATTACCTGTGTTGGTCAATATTCATTGATTTCTTCTTCCCGAGTTTTGCGATTGAATCAAATATTACTTGTTTCTCATCTCACTAAAAACTTGGTTTCGGTGTCAAAGCTTGCTAAAAATAATCAAGTTTTCTTAGAGTTTCACGCGCATCGATGTATTGTTCGAGATGAGAAGACTGGAAATGTGTTGTTGCAAGGGCGTGAAGTCAACGGTCTTTATACCTTTGATCATGGTCCGTCGTTTTACTGTGGTGAGAATTCTAAGGTGTGTGTTGCTGAGGAAAATGAGAAGTATATCTTGTGACACAATCTTCTTGGGCATCCTGCTCATGACACTTTAATTCATGCTTATAGTGACTGTAATGTCTCACTTCCTAAATCCATCAATAAAATGTTGAATGTGTGTGTTTCGTGCCAAATGGGAAAGAGTCATTGTTTGCCTTTTGTTACCTCGACTATTGTCTATACCAAGCCTTTTGAATTAGTTTATACTGGCTTTTAGGGGCCGCCTCTCATTGTTTCGAATCAGTTTCGCTTTTATGTCTCCTTTATGGATGCCTTCACAAGACACCCGTGGGTGTATTTGCTAAAGTCGAAAGATCAAGTTTTGGTTGTGTTTCACCTTTTTCAGTAGTTTATTTTGACCAGTTTGGCACCACCATTAAAGTTGTGCAGAGTAATTGGGGTGGAGAATATCACAGCTTGTCTCCTTTGTTAAGCAAAGCCGATATTGTTCATTGGGTGACCTACCCTCATACTTCTCAACAAAATGATGTTGTTGAACGTAAGCACCGGTATATTATCGAGATGGCTCTGACGTTGCTAGATACGGTGTCTATTCCAATGGAATATTGGTCCTTTGTTGTAGTCAGCGCAGTTCACCTCTTAAACCTGCTTCCAACAAAGGTCCTGAATGGACAGTCTCCTTTTGAGCGATTGCATGGCAAGAAGCCTACCATAGGACATCTACGAGTATTTAGCTATCGATGCTTCCTTCACACTCGTCCGTTTCAAAATCATAAGTTAGCATTTCGGTCCCGGCCATGCACCTTTCTTAGATATAGCATGCAGAATCATGGCTACGTGTGCATGGATTCCACGGATGATCTCTTTGTTTCTCGTAACGTCGTGTTTGACAAACACGTGTTCCCCTTTGCTAATGTCTTGTCTCCGTTGGAGTCAAGGGGTACTGCTCCACAATTTTCATCACCCATCTTTGTAGTTGCAGGTGTAGTAGAGTTATGTAAAGGCCGTGTACAAGATGTGTCACCTTTACACTCCAATGACTCATTGACCTCAAATTATGCTGTGTCAGGAGGCTCTAATGGTGGGCCTTCGATCCCTTTACATACTGCTTCTCGCGTGCCATATAGTGACAACACTGGTCCTTCACTGAATAATTTCTCCTACCAACCCCGCTACTTCTACGCATAATGACTCTAAGCGATCTGTCCCAGCTCAGCTTGACAACGCTACTCCGGTTGTTTCCTCTAACAACAATCTCCCCATGGTAACCAGAAGTAAGACAGGAATTTTCAAACCCAAACTATTTGCTGCCAGTGTTGCCCATCAGTTGGAAGATTCGATTCCTGATAACATTGGTCAAGCCCTCCGTTGCCCTCATTGGAAGCAGGTGGTTTTGGTTGAATACGATGCTCTTCAAAAAAATGAGACATGGGATTTGGTTTCATTACCTGACGGTCGGTTGGTTATAGGCTGTAAATGGTTATTTGAAGTCAAAGAAATCGGACGGAACTGTTGATCATTATAAAGCGAGACTCGCGGCAAAGGGTTTTTCGCAAGTTCTTCGCCCTGACTTTGGCGACACGTTCAGCCCCATAGTGAAGACTACGACCGTGAATTAAGGAACGGGTACAATTTTGTGGATTTCGCACCGTATCCGCTTCAATTGGGGTGGAATGGGTATAATTTTAGTGAGTAGTGGGCGGATGTGGATTTAGAAAGTGGTACCGTCGCAGGTAGTGGGCGAATGATGGATTTAAGACCTTATTCGCCCCGCATCCGCCCGCCTCACATCCGTCCGCCCACTAAATACCCATTAAATTTTAGACCATTATAAATTTAGGTATAATTTTAGGGTTTGTCATTTATATGTGTCAAAGAACAAAAATATTATGTGTTTGTCATTTATGTTTCTAGACTTTAATTATGTCTTTTATTATGGTGTTTTATATACTTTAAAATCTATGTTAACACTTAACTCAGATAATCTTTGATTTATCTTATTATGTTTCTTAATGGACGTGTTTGTTTTATATTTGTTGTTTATGTATAACTTAAAGTTGTTGTTAGGCGAGTTTAACCGGGTACGTCTCCAGTTGGGTAATGAGTGTGAGGATGAATTTGAGAATGTACTAGCGTGGGCTGGTGTGGGTTTGAAAATTTGTACCCATCATGAATGGTGGGCGGGTGGTGGATTTGAAAATATTAGGTGGGTATGGGAATGGGGGAGGGGCCCGACCCGTCCGTTTGTCATCCCTACCGTGAATGTTATTTTATCCCTTGCTATCTCAAATGGGTGGGTTCTTCGATAATTAGACGTTAATAATACCTTCCCAATGGTGATTTTCGTGAAAAGGTATTTATGTCGCAACCACCATTGAGGAAACTGGAAGAAAAGCCACAACTGCAGTAAGAAAAGCTGGAAGAAAAGCCTTTGATCAAGTGACAAAAGGGACGTATTTGTTTACTACCGCCGATGTGGATTAGGATTTTTAAGGAGCATTAAAAGATCGTAGATGTCCAAAATATGTCATCCCTCAATTTATATTGACGTGGTCAAAGTAGATGACCCGATTTCATTTATCAACTTCTTTGTTATATCATCTCCAAGGTTAAAATTTATAATCTAATAAATGACTAATGTCATCTCCAAAATTAAAATTTATGATCTAATACCTTCATAGACGACATTAGATTAATACACATTGTTATCTCCAGGAGGTTATGTATACACTCCTACTTTCCAGTTCCTCGTAAAGGAGCAACTTAGAACCCCGGGACCATTTAAGCGAGAATTATCTGTTGGAGCACCCACGTGTACGGCTGTAAATGAGCAAAGTTATTTATAGGAGTGCATATGAATAGAGTGCTTGTGATTGATAACTGTTTGTGAATCGTTCTTATAATGTTTGTGTATTAAATTAAAAATATGAGTATGACAATTCTTAGACTCGTAACAAAACAAAAATGTGTTTAATTGTTTATGTTTACGAACACTCATTTAAAACTCACTAATAAGCTTTTTTTTACTCATTTATAAGTTTGTTTACCCAATTCTCCTTTTTTATATTTTAAATATTGACAGAGATAGGAACTAGATAGAACACATATTAAATTTTAGAGTTCAAACTATGAAGCTTTAAAGAACTTAAGGGTTAGTGTGTAATTTCACCACTAATGGTGTAATTTCACTATTTTTCTTTAGCAAACATATAAAGAAACATGTTTGTCAACGTTAAACGAACCGAACATAAACACATTAAAAAATAAACAAACAAACACAATCTTATTCGTTCAAGCCCGATTCATTTACACTCCTAACTGCTTATATTATATATAAAGATATTTAAAGCTACAACAGTGCAACCCTGTCCAGTCATCAGCTTCCACATCATCTTTCCTATATGTATTTATTCCATTCTACATATTAATCTGGGAAGGGAAATCCTGGTTCTTGTTATTTGACTAAGTTTCTAAATAAATATCGGCATAATACCAAGCTAGGGACCAGTTCCACCATACATAATGCAACGCATGATATATCCATTCATGGGTTCATCAATGCGGCAAGTGGTCCCAACAGGGACAAAAGTTGATAGGCAAGGCTTCAAACATCCAACATAAACAAATGGATCTCATTTGGAGGCAATACACAAGAGATCAATATAATGCAAGGAAAAACCAACTAACCAAACCTTTGGAAACTCATTAATTCTATGTAAATATTAGCATTGGCAAATTTCATGTGCTTCATTTAGCTATATCTATCTACTTATCCATGTTTGTAGAATCCTCGTCAAAATTTCATAGAACAAAGGATTAACCAGCAACGTTGCAGAGGGAAAACATAGTTGTTTCCAACAAAGCAAAAACATATTACTAGGAGCGTACAGTTTAACATTCCATTGATACCTATCAACTGGTAACTTTCTTTCTGAGAAGATGGTGCAGGTCGAGAGCATTGATCTTGCTAGCAAGTATGAAGTCATTTTCCGTAAGTCCACCTATTCAGAAGGAATATTCATATTTGAACAATAGGAGTTAGAGGAGAATTAAAGCCTTAGCTCCATCAAAGCAAGATAAAATTTGGCAGCTCCGATCTCTTACTCATTTTAACAGTAAATACTAAATAGTTTTTTTTAAAAAAAAGAACAAGATTAACGGCATGCTAGCAGATCATTCAAGAAACAGAGAACCTTTGCTTCTCATCAGGCATGAACAGGTAAAAGCCAGGTGATTAATGAACAAAGGAAAAATAGATACAAGCCATCCTTGTCAAATGCACAAGTACAGGAAAAGGAAAAGAATAAAATAAAAGAGGCAAAAAGGAAGAAAAAAATTTAGTCTTTTCAAGGGCTAGATAATGGTTACCGACAGCATGAGTCCATATTTCAACTGTTACATTGTTCCATCCGACCAGATGCAGATCTGGATGATGCCCTGTATTAACAACAATCCTTTCACTAATCCATGTAATGACCAAAATTTCCAAAAAAGTCAATTACACGTTCATTTCCTTTCATCAGAGATCTATATCGAGTGAAAATGATTACACAATGTACCTTCGGCTTCAGCAATATCAGATATGAGCTGAAACATCTCCAGTCCTTTGGTGAAACTCTTTACTTTCCAAGACCTTTTTAGCTTCAATGTATCCCCTTCATTAACCAAATTCCAACCATCCACCTGATCAACACTTAAGCAGTAAAGGTTCCGGTTTATAATGAAAAAAATTAATAGATATTTTGAAAACATACCTTTGGAATTAATTTACTTGCACTTTCTTCTGTCATAGACCGTAGATCCTTTGAGTTACACGGAACACACTTCTTAGTCGACAAATCTAACAAAGCCAATCAACCACATGAGGCAACAAGAACCATCCATTATGATCAAATATAATTTCATCATAAAATGTCAGTAACTAATGACAGCCACTATGTAGAACTGCCACTACTGTAATAATACAGAAAAAAAAATTCAGGCCATCAAGTGAGGAAAAGAGTAACTATATATCACAGCATATCATACAGGTTTAATCCCCTAAAAGAGTAATGACACCTCAAAAATTAAGGATGGTTCCAAAAAAAGTCATTCATTAAGGAAATTGACCAACTTAATCCCATCTCATAGCCTTTATTCATTCTAAGTTCAGCACTTCAGCTAATGAAGTTCAATACTACATTTTAAACTCAGCACAGTAAAAACAAAGTGCAAGGTCATATGAAAAGGCAAGAGAAATTGATGCTTTTGGCCCCGAAAAATAAAGCAGCACGGGATAGTAAATAAAGAAGTTAAGACAGTCTTAGGCTGCCAAAGAAATTGTGTTTAATTTCTACAATAAGAAAGAGCATGAAAGAAAAATGTATTTTTCAAAGTCAAAATGAGAAATAAATTTAACCATTGAACTAAGAGGGCATTGTTTTCTCTAACTTCCAATTAAAAAGCTGTAGTCTATTCTAAAACCTTTTCAACCACCATTCCATAAAAAATGCTAAAAATCAATTATCAAGAATATTATAAACTAAAAATGCATTCGGTTTGCCTCTTGCAAAAAATGTTCACAAGGGAAGGTCTTAATTCTTAAATATTTGCCAAAATGTTATACTTCCATGATAACAAACGAAAAAACAGTCTCGATTCCAAAAGAAACAGATCAACAGTAATGTGTCCTTGCTTCATATTATCAACATTATTGACGATGGTTTATGGTCATTGATCACCACGCACCTTTATCAGTGCCAGTGCAAAACGTTCTAAATCCATAAACAGAGATTGTATTTGATGATATTCCAATACGATAACGAAAAATCTCAGTCACTTGAGTACAGGAACTGCATATAAGTAGAAAATAAATCTTCATACAATAATATTCTCTAACAAATTAGTAAGACAAATTACTTCAACTATACTATATTCATCACTATTATTCAAATATCATAAAATCAAAAGAAACTAGCATCAAGTCCAGCAAGTAATAAATTATATGATAGCAGTATTTTAATTTCATTAAGATATCCCTCAAAATAAACTCGATTTTAAATTGAACAGGTAGCCAAAACTCTAGATTGAGATATAATTGCAAAGTTCCTCAAGAAAGGATATAATTGGAAAGAAATAAGTTTCTATAAACCCTAACCAAGGGAAAACCTAAACGAAATTAGCGTATAAGCTTGGAAGCAGCAAGAAATATTCAATTTCTGACTAAAAAGACAATTTTTAGGGAAATTACCGTCCATGAGAGCCGGAAAGGATTTGAAGCGAGCAAAAAGGTAGCTGAAAATTGGGGGGGGGGGGAGCAGAAAATTAGAAGGAAAGTGAGAGAGGGAGAGAGTTTGGAATTACGAGTGAAGTACCTGAGATTTACAAAGTGAGAGAAATGGAGTTCGTAGCATTCGTGCGATCATTTCTCAATCTTGACGGTTTCAATTTTAAACCCCAAAAAAGAAAATCAAATAAACTCAACAAAAAAAATTTCCTCAAAATTTGGTCCTACTTATTTGGAGAGTATAAGGAAGTCAATTTAACACTAATAAAATATGTTATCGAAAATATTATAAAAAATTTAACATTTTTTTTTGCATGTAACTTAAAATATTAATTTATTTTAATATTTTTTGTTTAAATTTTTTATAATATTTTCGATTACTAATAAAAAATATTATATTTTTCATAATATTTTAAATTACTTTTATTTTCTACTATTTTCTAACCTTAAATTAAGTTATTGTAGGATTATCTTATTTATTATGGTTAATTACCTCATTTATACATGAATTATATATGATTCTCAGTTTCATACATAAAGTTTAAAAATTTTAGATTAATTACATAATGTTTTATGCCGTTAATAGGTATATCTATTTTCGTCACGGAAGATAACGTGGGATCGTATGACCTATAATAATCTGACACGTGGCTAATTAAAAAATATTTTTTAAAGATTTTATTCTTTGACTATGTACTCCTCGATATGGTGAATAAGATTCAGGTCGTCTTCTTTCCTTCGACTGAGATTCAACAGATGAATCACTTATTGTTATCTTTCGACTTCCCATCTTCTAAGCTGCTTTTAGTCCTTCATAAAACCCCCAAAGTTCGGCTTCTATCGTTGAGCAGAAAACCAAAAACCCATTTACCTTTATGGTCTCTGAGAACTACTGCACACGTTGCTTCCCCGGTCTGGGTTCTCCTGGCTCTTTCCGTGTTTATTTTTCATCCAAGGATAACTCGGTGGTACTTAGAACCGTCCGTCACAATTCAAATTGGACTTACTCTGTTTTCTGGACCATCCGTCCTTGCCTGTATCTCACGTTCCTTTTGTTCTCTGTATCTCATGTTCTTTTTGTTTCTCTATACCATCTGTCCTTTCTTTGTTCTATTTTTTTAATTTACTTTTCTCATCTGTTTTACTGAATCGGGTTTCTTTGTTTTGGTGTGGAGAGTGAGGGGCGGTAATGGTTGCAAGGTCGGAGATGACAACGACAGCTTGTAAGTATGGTTTTGGGGTTTCCCTTTTGAACTTATTTTTTTCCTGTTTGGTTGGTTCCCGAGAAAACATAGGCAAATGAAAGAACTTCAGGGTCAAGCATTGCTTGTTTCCTTATTGAAACAGGAGAAATTTTGTTAATGAGGGATTTTGAATTATTTAATTGATCTTATGAGATGTGTTTTTATCAATCTGTGATTTGAAGTTATTTTCATTTCCAAAATTAGCAATTTTGTAAATAATTTTCTGGTATATATTGAATTTTCCCCTTTTCTTTTTACCTGGTGAAGGATGCTGATGTAGGAAGATAGATTTTGCCTAGAAGAGTGACAGATTATTCACCATATTGAGGAGTACATAGCCAAAGAATAAAATCTTTAAAAATATTTTTTAATTCGTCACGTGTCAGATTATTATAGGTCAAAAAGTTCCACGTCATCTTCCTTGACGAAAATAGGTATACCCTGTTAACGACAGAAAACATTATGTAGTTAATTGAGAATTTTTAAACTTTATGTATGAAACTGAGAATCGGATATAATTCATGTATGAATGAGATAATTAATCCTACTTATTAAGGTTTTGTTCACCATCTAAATGTAGACTACGGAAAATATTTAATGTAAAATGATAAATCTATATAGGATAGAGTTGAGGGTTTTTTTTCCTTCGACTATCCTAATACATTTTTTTACTTTAAATATTTATCCTATCTTTTTATCAAAATAAATTTTAAATCTGTGTTACGATTATATGTTATTGGTTAAAAGAATTTTTTTAGCTAAATAGGACTTAAAGTAACAACGAGAGACCTAGTTTGATTAAAAACTAGTTTTTATTTAAAGTAAATAATGGTATAATTTAGAGAACTTTTTTTTTATGTTAAGCTTAGAGTTAATCGCATAAGAGATCTTTAATCTATGAACTTATTTTATTGGTCCTTAATTTTTAAAAATATTTTTTGTCTATTATCAAATTATGGTCTCATTCTAAATTAATTTTTGAAGTTTTAATTATTTTATATTAATTTTCAAACTATCAATTATGATTGTAAATGAGACAACATAGATAGTGAGCTACTCAAGATCGACTTGGTCAAAACTCAATAAATACTCGACTCGAGCTCTTAACGAGCCGAAACTAGCTATTTGATACTTGACTCAAAAAACTCGCGAACAACTCAAAAAATATAATATATTAAGATTTTATTTATTTTTAAAATAAATTTTTAATAGTATTAATATTTATGTGTTGCTTTTTAAGAAATGCAGTATAATGTTATTGTATTTAAGGTTCTAGTTTGAGCTTGAGCTTCAATTGAGTTAAGTTTAAGATTTTTTTTTCATTTCGAGCTTTTACGAGCTTAAATTCATAGTTTCGAGTTTGAGTCGAGCTTGAAAATTTTAGACTCGTGAGTTTTTTAGTCAAGTCGAACTCTATTTTAGAGTTTTCAGATTGAGTTGAGCTCACCAATACTTGAACTCGACTCGACTCATTTACAACCTTACTACCAATAGCATTTCAATTTGATTATTTGTTAACGTATCTTTAAATTTATTGATTAAAAAAAATTATTTATTTTTATGGTCTTGATAATTGAACTTGTGGCTTTTTTTAAAAATAATATAATTTTAAAGATTTTGAGGATTTCTTTTAAATGTCATGGGTTAAATTCTTAAAATTTTTAAAAGTATATAATTTTTTTACTTGAGAGTTAACAGCACGTAGCAGAAGGATCAAAATGAAATACTATTAATAATTTGAGGACTACAATACCCTAATCCAATCCGACCTAAAAAAATTAGATAATTAAGATGCTACACCGGAACCACCGAATGTGACTAACCTTTTTTTTTTATAAAAAAACACATTCATCCATTCTGTTAGTTTAAAACATAATAAAATCTCATAATATTAAATAAGTTTACAAAAATTGGCGAGCTCCAAATACAAAGTTTACAACTCAAATACCAGGGTCTATGAAAGTACATGCCGACTACAACACTCGAGATGTGCTCTAGTAAGTCCAAGTCTAGAAATATGCAACCCTGACGATGAGCTCCACGAACATGCACCTAAGAAACACATTCTGAACGCTGAGCTTACGAGCTCAGTGTCACACTAAAAGCACTATTATACTACATGTTTGGGTTGTTCATGGATGGTTAACCGTATCGTTTATCCTAAACGGTCGGTTAACCGTTATAACGGTTATAAGATTTTTCTAACCGTAATTTATCCATTAAGAAACGGTTAACCGTTAACGATTAATCTTTATTAACGGTTTGATTACAGGTTAACCTAGAGTTAACTTATTACAATTATTTGTCAAAATTTTCATAATTCATACAACAAAAAATGTATAACTTAACATATACTTACACTGATGTAAGTGAATAAAATAAAAAAGTGCATCACTTAACACATATTTACACAGGTGTAAGTAAATAAAATAAAAAGGTGTAGTACTTAACACATACTTACACAGGTGTAAGTGAATAAAAAAAAGTGTAGCACTTAACACATACTTACACCAATGTAAATAAATAAAATTAAAAAAATGTAGCACTTAATACATATTTACACCAGTGTAAGTATGTACATATACTAATATCTTAGTACTTTACAATAAACACATAATTATATTGATATAAGTATATTTCTATATTTTCAAAGAAATAAAAAATAATATATATATATATATATACATTTCTTTATTAAATATATATATAAATTATAAATAATAGAAAATTATATTAAGTTATTTTTGTAAAACTATAATTTATTAGAAATATAATTATAAATTTAATTTATTAATGGTTAACCGTTTATCAAAATTCTACACAGTAACCTTAACTGTTAACCATTATTTTTAGCGGTTCGGTTAATCTAAACCATTTAATATTAACGATTCAGTTAATTCACCTGTTAAATGTAATGATTATACTGGTTAACAATTACAGTTAATGATTTTAGGGTTTCTTGAACACCTCTACATGCATTCATGTTGAACTATGTTTTGATATAACAATTTAAGGCAAAATGGTTTTTGGACTTGAATTGAATTTACAAAATGTTTTTGGACTTAATTAAATTTATTCAAAGTTTTAAAAGTATTCAAAAATAATTCAAAGTCCATTAAATTCAGATTTGAGCCAAAATGCTAAAGGGTGTCAAAATGCATCCATGCACCCTTGCAGTGCATCCATGCATCCCTGCAGTGCATCCATGCACCTGCACTAGTGCATCGATGCACCATGCAGTGCATCCATGCACTCAAACACCGAATGCAATTAGTGCATCGATGCATCCTTCTGTGCATCGATGCATCCTTCTGTGCATCGATGCATCATTCTGTGCATCGATGCATCCTTCTGTGCATCGATGCATCAAGGCTGTGCATCGATGCATCCTGCTATGCATCCATGCACGAAGGCTGCAACGGCTAGTAACGGCTAGTTTATTTGAATTTAATGAAGGGGTATCGATGCACCATGATAGTGCACCGATGCACCATGTTATGGGCAGCCTTTTTGAGTAGAAAAATCACCCCCAAACGACTCCAAAACATCCTCAACGGCTATATACAACATCAAACACATTCCAAGATATAAATGCAAGCTAAGGACACTTGAAGAAGCAAGAGAACAACTATCCAAGAAATCAAACACAAGAGAAGAGTTTTTCATTCTTATTTCATCTTTCTCTTGTAAATATTTTGTTCTTGTGAGCTCAATCTTGTAAACACCTACCTTAGATAGGTTTTCTTGTTTACATCTTTTATCCTTTTATAAAGGGGAAAGGTTCTAGTTTAGCCCAGAAAAACTAAGGAGTTGTAAGGTTATCTCTTTGTCCTCAAAAGAAAGAACAAATTAGTGAATTTGTTGGAAAATCCTTGGTGAGGAGCTAAGGTAGTGGATGTAGACTTTGGTTGAGAAGGTCAAACCACTCTAAATCGCTGTGCGATT